TCAAGCTGACACCTTCTGAATCAGAGCTGATTGTAACATCTGTTACCCCTTTGGTTGCCAAGAATGATTCCAGTTATCTGACAGATGGGCAGAGGATCCCTTACTTCCTACTCTCCCATGTACATTCTTCCTATAGTTGGGCACTTAGCTGTAAAGATAATCTGCCTACATAGAGAAGGACCTTTCTTTGGTCAAGAGTATATTCTTTCCCATGGTTTATTCATCTTTGTATCAGTATTCTTTAAATGTTTACTGAATGACTGAATATTATGAGTGATAGAAATGGCTAATGTTTGTATGTATGAATAGAGTTTCATGGTTTTTTCAGTTTATGCGGGAGCTTAAATTAATACCTAGTTTTTTGAACAAAGATAGTCAACAAATAATAATAGAGATACTGGAATATATTTACAAATACTTGTAACTGTATATAGTTATAGTTACAGAGAATATAATCTATACATGTATTTATTTCATAAATGGTGCCTAGTATTTTGATTTATGAATTCATTCAGTAGAACTCGAAATATTATTTAAATTTTATCACTGCCCTTCATTTCTGTAACTTAAAGGAGAAAATTTCCTCTTTAAGTATCTAGTAAAGAAAGTATTTTTAGATTCAAGTAGGATAAGAGATTAGTAGTTTTTCTTTTACTAGAATTCTCTACTCCTGATTTTCTATGTGAAAAGATAATTATATCATTTCTTATTCTGATGTCCAACTTAAGTTTAAAAGCTAAGCAATGTAAATTTGGTTTAATTCTTATCTAGTTTATATCTATATTATTTAGAGGCTATTTTTGCTTAAATAGTTTGTGAGGAGGCTAATGCATTTCTCCCTTGGAAAATGTATATGTGTTCCTAATTCTTAACTAATGGGAAATGAAAGGGTATTTTTATTGTCAGCTTTCATCAAGTTAGACCTCTCTTGAAGACCTAACTAAATTCTGTTTCCATGGGAATTTTGCTAATGGGTATGTGCAACATTATCCAGGTACTCATAGACAGAATTACAAATTAAAAATAAAAAGGAATGGGTGAACAAGTACATCTTCTCTTAAGAAATTGGCAGCATGGTAATCTTTGCACTTCCATTTTCACGTTGCAGTGTTTCCAGATAGGGTGCATGAAACCAGCTTAGACAATATAAGTAATTAATTTTCTAAATGGGTTCTCGGTTGTAATTTTATATGTATAAGGCAGAAGAAAGAGAGTAAATCTTCTAGTGTGTGTATGTTTAGTTAACAATATTAGTGACTTTAATAGGTTTTACTGGAAAATGAAAGATTGAAGGCATATTTAAAAATAAGCCACCCAGTTTTATCGCCTGTATCTTAACTTAGTAAATTATTTTGGTTCGTGTAATAAATGCCCACCATACATTTCCACATCATACGCAGAACATATATGTGAATCTAGTGATACTCACCATTTATGGAACACCTACCTACCCTAAATATTGACATTCTGTAGAGTTCAGCCCCAGGCTACCGTCTTTTCTCATGCTGCATTCTTTTTCTGGGTAATTTCATCCGCTTTTACAGTTTTAACTATCAATAGACCAGTAATTCCCAAATGTGTATCTCTTACTTAAATCTCTTTTCTGGCTTTCCAGACTTATTTCATATATTTTCAGGGAAATGCCATAGACATATCAAGCTAATTGTGTCTGAGATTGCACTTTTGATTCTCCCCTTCTTCAAATCTTCTCTTCTAGACTTTCCTATCTCAGTTACATCCATCTAATTTCTCTTGCCAGAAACGTGAGACTCATTCTTGATTCCTTCTATTTCTTCATTTCTCCGCCTCAGCTCAAATCTGTCACTAAGTACTGTTCCTTCTACCTCTAAACCATAGCTCAGGTTTTTCACTTTTCTCTCTCACTGTTGCCATCACATTAGATCTTTCGCTTGGATTAATGCAGTAGCCTGCTAACTGGTTTCTCCATCTCCAGTTTGGCCAACTCTAACCCATTTATAATAAAAGCTGAAGTGAGTTGTTAATATGTAAATATATTTATATCATTCTTATGCTTAACACCCTCCACTGCTCTTAAAGATCTTCTCCTCTTCTTTCCTAGAAGAGGTGATAGGGTCTATATCAGTTTTCCAGGGCTGCACAGACTAGGTATCTAAATAATAGAAATGTATTTCCTCAGTTCTGGATGCTAGAAGTTTGATATCAAGGTGTTGGTGGGATTGATTTCTTCTAAGGCCTATCTTCTTGGCTTGTAGAAGGCCATCTTCCTCCAGTGTCTTCATGTGGTCTGTCTTAATCTCCTCTTCTTTTAAGGATACCAGTCATATTGGATTAGGGCCCACTCTCATGACGTCATTTTACCTTAATTACCTCTTTTGAGACCCTGTCTCCAAACATAGCTACATTTTGAGATTTAGGGGTTAGGATTTCAACATATGAATTTTGAGGAGACATAATTCTATAACAGGGCTTAAACTGATTGTTGATGGAAGAGTAAGCATGTACAAAATACACTATTCTGAGCAGTCTCTATATTCCTATTGTCTTGCTTCCTCTGCTATCTTTTCATCAAAATTTTAACATATCGCCTTAAATAGCTGTTGAAATGGTTCTATAAACATTAGTGTACAAATATCTGTTTGAGTCCAAGTTTTCAGTTCTTTTGGCTATATACATAGGGCTGGAATTGCTGGGTCATGTGGTAATTCTATGTTTAACTTTTTCAGAAACTGCCAGTATTTTCCACAGCTGCTGTAGCATTTTACATTCCCGCTAGCAATATATGAGAATTCTAATTTCTCTTCATCCTCACTAACAATATTTTTTTCCCACTTAAAAAAATTACACCCTTCATATTCGGTGTGAAGTGGTGTTGAATATCTTTTCATATGCTTCCTTGCCATTTTTATATCTTCTTTAGAGAAATGTCTGTTCCAGCTCTTTGCCTATTTTTTAAATTGTTTTAATTGGATTTTTAATTGGTTTGTCTTTTCGTTGTTAAATTATAGGAGTTCTTTATATATTCTGGGTATTATACTCTTATTAATGGTTGGCAAATATTTTCTCCCATTCTGTAGGTTACCTTTACTCTCTCACTTCTTTTAAATCTTACTTAACTCAAATGTCACTTTCTCAGTAAGAACTTTCCTGACCACCACCCACAAACACACATCCCTTCTTTATTTTTCTTCCTAGCACTTATCACTAACATTTCAACATGATGTATGTGATTTATTATTACTATTGTTGTTATTGTTAGTATTACATATCTTGTTTATTGTCTGTCTTCATCAACTAGGATGTGTGAGATTTTTGTCTCTGTTGCTCATTGCTGTGTATGTAGTGCCTAGAACAGAACTTGTAGTCATTTAATAAATATTTATTGAATAAAAATGAATGAATAAATTTAACATATAACAATATCATCCTTTTTTTTCTTTTTTTATTGGGGAAATAGAACAGACATGCAGAAAAGGAGCACAGTGATGTGTCATAAAAAGAATACATTTTACCCACCACCAAAATCAAGAAATAAATTTCTGCCATTACCTCAGAAGCTTCTTTTATGCCTCTTCCCTATTACTCCTTCCTCTGTCCAGTCACCCAGAGGTGATCACTATTCTGATACTTATGATAATATCTTTGTTGCTTTACTTTATAATTTTACCACATAAGTATTTGTCTGTAAAACCTTTGTTATTATTGTTTTTTTCAAATTTCGTGTAAATGAAATCAGTATGTATTCTTTGGTGCCTGTCTCTAATGTTCAACATTGTTCTATTGAAAGAAATTTTGGTTACTTCCATTCTGGGTTTTTTTTTTTTTGTATAATGGTACTATCACTATACTATATGCACTAATCTCATGATGTCCAAAATATGTACATTTCTACTGAGCACAATGTTAATAGTTAGGAGTGAATTTCTGAGCATAGGGTGCGCATATATTCAGCTTTAGTGAATAGTGCCAAACCAGTTTCCAGAGTATCTGTACCAATTTTTATCCCTTCCAGAAGTATAGTTACTAATATATTTTCATATGTTTTTGGCTCTTTGGACATACTTCTCTGTGAAGTGTTTGTTCAAGTCTCTTAGTCTCTTATCTTCTTTTTTTTTTTCTTTCTTTCTTTCTTTCTTTTTTTAATCAGGGCAAGTCTGTCAATCCAGGGCACTCTTGTGCAATCTAGATGCACCTGGATGTACCTCAGCTGGAGAAACTGCCAGGAAACCCAACAGGAAAAGGACTGTCTCTCATCATTAATTCCTCTCTCTCTCACATTCCACCACCAGCCAGGCCTCCAGATCATTCACGTTAGCTGATGTCCCTTTTAACAATCTAATCTGGCATCATAAGAATCTTCTGATAGTTTCTTTCTTCTCCCCAGCCAAACACTACCATCCAGGTTGCTTTTTTTTAGTTGAGATATAATTGACATAATATTGTATTAGTTTAGTGTATGAGGATTCGAAATATGTTCTTGTCCATTTTTAAACTGAGTTTTGTCTCTTTTAATGATTTGTGGGGATATTTATGTATTCTGGATATGAATCTCTGTGGCTAACCTTTGTGCTCTTTTGATGATGTGTTTTGATAAATGGAAGTTCTGAATTGTATTATTTATCAATCATTTTATTTATAGTTAGTATGTTTACTGATAGCTTATATGCTAACTAAATATTATATAGTTAATATATTTTAGTGTGTTTTTAAAGGAGTTTTTATATACCTTACTCATTTAGAACCACAATCCACCTGAAAGTAGGAGACCTCATGAGCAAAAACAGGCAGCAAAGTGTGAGACGTGTGGGAGAAAGTGAGTACACCAGTTTGGTTGGAGCAGAGGTTTTTGGAGGGTCTTGTGGGAAATAAAACTAGAAAATTAAATTAGGGAAGATTGTAGAACCAAGAAGAAAAAACTAAGAGAAATGTTATCCTGCTTTATGCTCACATGAGCAGGTATCATTTGCAGTAGCCTCCAAACATCTTACACATAGGTACTTTTCTCTCAAGAGAGACCATGCAGTAGTGTGGATGATTCAATACAAGTCAACCACCCTCTTAATCCCCAGCAAAACGATAACAGCAAAGCAAAGTAAAACAAAAAACTGTCTTATTTACTGACTTCATTTTTATGTTATAAAAATTCTTCATTTAAGGGGGTAGGTATGGCAATATCTTTGGCCTATTTAGATATCATTAAATTACATTTTTTTTCTTTACCAAATCTAGTAAAGGTTTCCCATGAATTGTCCTAGATAACAGCAATATCTACCTGTTAAACAAACACCAAAAAGTCCGCCCAGAAATAATTTGTATAAATTATCTAGTCATTATATTCCTTTGGAAGACAATATAAACTATTATACTTAATTTCTTTAAAATGTTTTAGCTTAATAGTTTTCCTTGTATGAAAATATTTTTTGTATCTGATTACTGGAAGAATTGGGATGTCATGTTCTCATAAACTTTTTTCCTAAACATTTGTAAAATGAAGTCCCACATTATCTAAAGATGTGTGACTATGTATGTACATATGTTTTAGAAATATGTACTTACTTGGTTCGCCAGGTGATTAGAGATATATTATATAGTTCAAGTTTAAAATAGTTTTTGTATATGATTGACAAGATGATGATACATTTGATAATTTACAACTGTAGTTTTATGCCACTAACGTATTTCTTTTATTTAGTATGACATAATAGGCTACATTTTATTATTCAGCCTTTCTGACTCTTTGGGGAAAAAAATATAGGACCAAATAGTCAAGTCTCATTATTTAGTGACAGTGATAGACAGGAAGCACATGGATAATTAAATCTATTGTCAAGTTCATCCTATAAAACTGCTTTAGCCAGGATTTTCTACATCGTCTTCCAGAAAGCCTATTGTTAGAGTTGCTATTGATAGCTGAGATATGGAAGGTTTGAGTTTCAATTTATTTACTCCTCTTCTTCTCTTAACAAAGATACTAATGAGCCATTAGTTGTGTCAAAGGCCAGGAGTATCTAAAGTGTAGAAAGCTATATGTAGAGCCGGACAATCCAAAGAGAAGCACCACTGAAATAGTAATAATTGAACCATCATTAAACGTAATGCTTTTCTTATATCCTTGTTGAGTCTGGACTACCATTGATTTGTTTCCAGACATTAAACTGAAGAGAAGTTGTTTGAAAACATGCTTTCTTAATGGACAGAACTTTCCATACATTTTCAGAGGAGTAAACAATAAAGTTAGAGAGTTGATTCTGGTTTGATAAGCAAATCCATGACTTTCTAGTTATAGTCTCAAGGAACTCTTAGCATGTGTTTACCTCCTAAAAATGTCATGGTCCCAGGAAAGATTTTGATTAGGCTCGTTCATAATATTTGCAAGCCTGAAGCAAGAGTAAGAGTGGAGGCCATGAACTATATGTCTAAAATTAGTCATAAATAAAGCTACCAAATGATTAAATAAAATATGATCTATACTCCTTTATGAATAAGATACCTTCATAATGTCCTAGAAGGCCAGATTTGAATTTAAAATTCTTGGACTCTGCGGGGTTCCATGTCAGAACATGGCCCCTATCCAGCTCCTCTTCCCTTTTTATTCTACACATCTAAGCTCCATTCTTATCTTCCTAAAATACAGCTACCCTTGGCCAACCCATGGATAAACGTAGATTCTCAAATTCTAAAGATAATCTCATTGCACATTAGACATAAAACACTTAAGATCACTTCCATATTCTCCCATATTCTCAGGGTCTTCTCTAAGTCATTGTGGGCTGAATGAGAAATGATAATGATAACTAGCTACCAGTGATTATGCCAGGCATAGGTATAGCTTCTCTGAATATTTTGTATAGTTATCAGCATTTTTTCTTCTTAGAGCCAAGTATTTCAGTAAAGCAGGACTCTAAATTTATACACACACACACACACTCATACACACACGCAAATATTTTTAGCTATTGAATTTAAAGAAGTAAATTTTCAAAGTTACCTTTCTTCCTTTTCCTCAGTGTAACATTTTAGGAAACACTAGCTTGAAACAAAGCTAAGTAAAATTCAGGAAACAAGAACCTAGTTAGGTTACACTTATTTAGTGAAAACACTAAATAAGGATTTGCTGTATTCACTAAATAAGGATTTGCTGTTTTCACTAAATAAGGATTTGCTGTAACCCATCTAGGTTCTTGTTTACATCCTTATTTAGTGTTTTCATAAACTTTTCCTTCAGTCTCTCCTAACTTGGCCTGGCTAAGGGTGAGGTACATGGGGAAGAGAGCAATGAACTTGCCCTGCTTTTCCCTAGGGGAAACCTAGGCCTCTGCTGGGAGGAAATATAGGACTGCTAGATAATGCTGATTCAGCCTTTGGAGGTTTCATGATATGTGCCAATTAGCCAACTAATTTTTCTAAAACAATTTGAACAATTTACAGTTTTAAATTATTCCTAAAGAATGAGACTTTAAAGAAGACAGGCTTCTTCATTCATTTTAAAGCTGAAATACTTAAGTGGTATTTAAGAGAAAATCAAGTGTGGAATTTGATCCTCTGTGTTTAGGCTTCATGAAAAGGGAGGTGCCGTAGCTCCATTGACTCTCCTGGAGTTAGCTGGAGATAACTCGTTTTGAAAATGTCAGCTTTCTAAATAGAAATGGAAACCATTAAAACAGATAAAACAAAGAAAGAACTTCAATATAGAAACTGAGAAGTAGAGTTAATAGCATGTTGGAAATGACCACAAGCAATTAAGTACCTGAATCAATGTTTGTTTGCAACAGTTTTCCACTTATTCACTTCATGGTGCTTATTTTATGTCATGTGAGCATGATAGTGTGGTCAGAGCAGGCAGCACATTCTTTGCAATCTCTCATTAACTTTTATTTCCCAAAGTTACCTTGAACAAAATAGATGTGTTTGAACAACCTCAGAAACTAGTTAAGTGTTTTCTTAGTTTACTAAATCCACCCAAGCAGGTTGGAGCGGATTGGGTTAATGTTGCACTTTACTACACCAACATGCAGATATGCACAGTATTACTTAGCATCTGTAGCATCCATAAAGATTTCTCTATCGCATGTGAGGTGAAAGAAGAGTGTGTTTAAGTCCCAGCTTTGAAGCTGTTGTGTTAATTGTTAACTTTTGCTGAGTCTGTACATTAAAAAAGGTAACAATCTCAGCATGTTAAGATCATAACTGTTAGATGCTTGGAGGCAGCAGCTGTGCTGATGTGAGGCATTAATGGCTGGATAGATTCAATCAGATATGCCGCCTCCAGTGTCTTTATGTAATGGTATTTACTAGATTTCAAATGGACTGCTGAGAAAGACAGAATATAATCTCATGTATTATCTCTGTCTTGAAAAAATAGATAATGAAATAGTTCTCTTGCCAGCATATATTTTACTAATCTTTGCGGAGTCAACTTAAAGAACAGATATCACTAGTTGAAACCTTTGGCTAAAGTGGAGTGTTATTAAGTGCATTCGTGAGTTCTAGGAACAATGGAGCAGGTAAGTATTTTTTTAAAAACCACTCAGGATAATATGGCATATTTTGAGGCTAAGTGGAGAGAAAAAATTGCAATGTAAATTGTATACCAATAAATTCTTTTTTCTTTCCTTTTTTTTTTTTCCCCTTACAGAGTCTGGAGAAAGTTCTTATGGAATTCAATCACAAGGAGTTGTTTGATTTCTATAACAAGGTCTATATTTTTTAAATAATTTTCGATAAGTGCGTTTTTTCCTTAATTTTATGAATTTTTATTTTTAAATGCCCTATTGTAGAGCTAAGTTCTTTAAACTTCACTTGTAAACACCTTATGTTTCACAGTAGGAAGCAGTGCCGAGATGAAAAGAATCTGACAAACTAAATCAGGAAGAAAATGGAAATTGTTTTAATTAAAGCAGTAGGATTGTTGCTTTTAAAGCATTAAGTAATGAACTATGTGGTACCTAGCCACACTGGCATTTTAGATATAAGTAAGGCTATATATTTTAATTTCTGGGCACACGAGGAAGGGAAGATGCCCGTCCTTTAAAGATTTATCATGAGCATATTTCATGATTCTTCCCAAATATTGATTTTGTAAGTCAGGAAACCAACCCCCCCACACACTTTAAAAATCTTATATAGTGATTATTTAAAATAAAAACAGTAGTATTTAGAAATCCTAGTTTACAAATTTGAAAATTTAGCAAGCATAAATTCTAATATTTTCACATAAATAGAAAAAAAATTATGGTATGTTTATTGCTATGTGACTGGATTTAATTTATATAATTGCTGCCATTCTTTCTCTTCTATTTGCATGTTTCTAAACAACACTTCATAAGAATTTCTCTCTCTCTCTCGTTTTTTTGTCTTTGTAAATAGCTAGAGACCATACAAGCACAGCTGGATTCCCTTACATGATGTTCCTGAAGACTGGTTTCTCCATCACACTCCTGCCACCTCATTATTTTGCTTTGAAGATAGACTGCCAGGTTGTGTTTTCTGAAGGATTCAGTAGTTTTCTTCTTGTAAATTATACGGTTTATCACTTCTTAGACAAATAACAGCCAAGGGAAATCATTGTTCTGAGAACTGAGGTTCTAATATACATTCTCTAGTTCTGGGAGCCAACAGCCAGCAATTGTTAAGAACACTTTTGCTTTAAAGGAAACAAAAGTGAATACCGTATTGTTTTTACTGTCCTATTTTTGCTTTCTTGCCTAACTAGTTTATTTTTCACCCATGTGACTCTGTATATATCAAGGAGGGTCCATGGATACAAGGTATAATGTATACCTTAGAATACAGAACTCTAGTAAGTACATTAATAAAATTAAGAAAGCAGTCAGATGCAGTCAAATACATTACAGTATTTTTCTTTGAATATAATGAGGATATTTTGCTTTGGAAATAATATAGGAAAGAAATTTAAAATAAAGCTAATAGTAGTATATCAGGTAATTCCAGTGTGAGCTTCTCTTTATTTTTATCTCTGCTTAATGCTTTAATAACAATTCTGGTTTTTGTATGCCTTTCTTTGTACTGCAGATTAATAATGGTTCAGTTCATACTGTGGGAGACAGATTTAGATTATGAATAAAAAGAATTGTAATGTGTGCTAAATGGATATCCTTAAAATTTCAAAACACATACCTTTTACATTCTCTTTCTGTAAATATGTTAATTCACTTAAGTCAATAAAATTTTTATGTCTAGTTGAACTCAAGTGCACAGTGTTTTATGCTGTCAATATGTATATAAATATGAGTATGGTTGCCTATAAAAAATAATATCAGTTGATTTTTTTATAAATGAAATATCTGTCCTATATTGTTTCCAGAGAGATAGAGAGGGACAGAAGGAGGAAGGAGGGAGGAAGGAAAGGGGATGGGGAGGCAGGAGAAAATGAGAGGGGGAGAGAGAGAGAGAGAGAGGAGTTGATTCAAACATGACTTTTTTTCATATGAAGGAATTTGATTTTAGAAATGCCCTATAGTTAAACAGAACCATTGATATTAAATCACATTCTTTATATGAGGTACCCCGGTGTTGTGTCTACCAAATAAACATCTAATATATAGAATTTATGCCCTTACTTATTTATATGTGTGCTTCTGTGGGGAATTTGGCTTATTTCAGAAAGTAAATGTCATAGTTGCTGTTCATAGTCGATTAAAAAGTTTTTAAACTCAAACTTCCATTTGTAGGATATCTGAAAGACATATTTATAATATAATAGGATTTGTTTTTATATGTGCCTTGTGGGAATCTATCTTCTTTCTTTTCTTTTCTTTTCTTTTTTTTATGCTCTTCTGCCAATCCCCAGAGAGAACTACCTGATTACTATAAACATTTTGATAAATATTCTTTCAGTCTTCTTATATACAAATAAACATATATCATCTCAAGTTGAATTTATTAGGCCTCCTGACAGTGACCATGTAGATAAGTAGAAGTTTTTATTGGTTTAATAGCCAACTTAACTCCTAATATAGAAATCTAGATTAAATGCGACTGCTCAAAATTGAATTTTCTATTAGTAGCTCATTTTATGCCCCCTAATAGAGCTGGTTATATATTCTCTGAGTATATCTAAACCTATACAAAAATGTGGTAAATAATTCTCTCCATTAGACTAGTTCGAGAAAGTCTAACAAAAGGCGTTGAAGAAAGGACAAGTAGAAAGTCTAATTGCAACTAAGAACATAATTATTCCTGAAATATACTTAATTGCAGATAATTTTATTATGTAACTGTTGTTACAATTCGCAAGTCAAAGAAAATATCATTCCCAAAAAGTATTAAATGCATGTTACTTTTTTATAGAAAAAGATGAGTAGAGGGATAAGTGGGGACTGGAACCTAGTATCTTAGCGATAAACGTGTCTTGTATGAGTGCTTGACATGAGGATTGAAAAAAAAAAGAATTACTTGTTTGCAAGGAACCAATGTACTATTTTTATACCTACTGCAAATATCTGCAGTTCTTCAATTATAAAATATGATTATTTTTAATAAGGAAATACCAAAAATCATAAGCAACCTAATTAATGTTATTTTGGTAGATTTTATTGAAGTTCTTTTTCTATCTATATATCTTTCTCTTTTTCTTTTTTTTCTTCCCAACAAATTGGACTAATGCTGTAAATATAGTTTCCTACTATATTCGCTTTGCTTATACGACATTCTAACATCAGCATTTTTCATGTCCTTATTGTCTAAACATAATTTTAATATATATTAAATAGTCCATTATTTGAATGAGCTATACTTTATTTAGTTATCCAGTCTATTTTTGGACATTTGTATTATTTTCAACTTTTTAACTTGCTAAAGAACTCATAGGTGAATATCATTATATAAAAAACCCTAGGCCACATCTCTTGTTATCTTATTAGTATAGATTTCTAGAAGTGGGATTATTATGTCAAATTATGAAGATTTGTTTTCTATTTTTATGTTTAATGGGATTTGATTATAAAAATAATAATTGCCCATTGTAAAAAGAAAAAAACGTTCCTTCATTTTGCCATCTCACTCTCACTCACCAAAAGTACCTACTAACTACTCAGAAACATTTGGTTTATATAGTTTCAGATATCTTATGTAAATGCAAACACACACACACCCCTCTTTGTATATGTTTTTATTTATATTTATTTTAAGGCCATGTTTACATATTGATAAATTGTTTCCCCAAATGTTCATACCAGTTTATACTCTTACCAACAGTAAATGAGTATTCACCTGCCTCAAGCCGATTTCCTCAGCCCCTTCCTTCTATTGTGCATTTCATTCTTAGTTCTTTTTAACCTGAGGTCAGGTTTTGGGAAGAGTGTAGGATGAGAGTGGGTTGAAGACAGGAACATCACTAATTACTTTGGATATGTCTCGTTGATAACTCCAGAGGCATTGAAGAGGAGATTTCCTCTAAAGTCAGCAAATGTGAAAGGCAACAGCACAGTATATAAGTATAAGGGCATTGAAGTTAGACATTTATTTCCTCAGCACATACTCATTGAGTGCCTATGGTGCTAGGATCTGTGTACGCAAAGCACCATGTTAACAGTAATGAGGAAATTAAATATAGTTCCTTGCTCCTTGAAGCATAGTGTGTCATTTTTTTTTTTAAAGCAAAATATAATAACTTGTGAACAAGTATGGGATGAAAAATGATTGAATTCTATTAAGAAAACAAAAGATGGGAACTTGGGGCATCAAGGAAAGATTCTCTGAGGAAATGTGATTTGAGCCAAGTCCTGTAGGATTAGTTAGAACGAAGCAGTAGAAGAACAGAGTGCAAAGCATTCTAGACAGAGAGAATGGCCCAGGCAGCATCCAGAGATTGGAAAAGGCTTAGCACATTTCAGGAACCAAAGAAGATCAGTGTGACTAGAGTGTAGTAATGAACAAGGGGATAGCAGAGGATGATACAGTTGGAGAGGTAGTCCTGTTACTTCTACCAATAAAATATCTTGTAAATATCTCTCCAGGACACTACCTTTTCCAAGCTACCATCATCTGTGTCCTGGACTATTCTGCTTCCACTCTAGCCCCCGCTTCAGTCCAGTCTTCAGACAGAGTTAGTATTTTTGAAACAGTAGTCACATTAATTATATTTTTTCTCTGCTTAAAATTCTTCAAAGACTTCCCATTACACTTCAAATAAAATTTAAGTGTCTGGACCATCAGGACAGACTGAGAATCATATGCTAGTTCTACTACTTTTTGTGTTTATTTAGTTTTCTAAAATTCAGTTCCTCATCTTTAAGATGGAAATCATAATCTAAATAACATGAGAGTATTATGAGGATTCAACCAGATAATTCATGTTAAAGACTTAGCATAATTATTGATTTGCAACAATGATAATAAGTGTAAGTTGTCATCTTCATAATCACTTGAAAAAAATGACCAGGCTTTCTATTAAAATTATTTCAGGTAATGTTTGAATTAAAGTCAAAATTGCAAAAAGCTTGCTATGAAACCCCTTCACTTTGAACTTACTTGGAGTTCCAATAACTCTGTCTTATGATCACTAGATTCAAACATAATGCCAATCTATCCCACTCTTAATTTTTTATTAACAAAATAAGGTAATAGGTGTATTATGAGATGAGACTAGAATCAGAATTTTTTTCTTTTTTCTGTGACTCCCTTTCTACATAACTCTCTGGCTAGATTAGAAAAGTCTATCTTTTCTCTAATTCTATTCATTGAATTTCTGTCTCTTCTTACCTTAAACAACATCTTCTCCTTATTCATTATACCTAGGGTCAGCAAACTATGGCCTGTTTTAATCCTAATTCAGCTCACCACTTGCTTTTACAAAATTTTATTGGAACACAGCTATGGTGGACAGACTCCCGATCATTCCTGCCTTTCGATATTCACACCTTGGTATAATCCTCTCCCCTTGAGAGTGGGCAGCACCTGTTACTTTCTTCTAACCAACTGAATATGGTAAAGTAATAGGATATCACTCGCATGATTGTTACATTACGTAAAATTCTTTCGTACTACCAAACTCACCCTAGAGACTTTCTCCCTTCTTGGCTTTGAAGAAGCAAGCTGCCATGTTCTGAGAGGGATTGTGGACAGATCCACATAGCAAGGAACTGAGTGACCTCTAGGAGCTGGGAGCGACCAATAGTCAGCAAGGAGCTGAGATCTGAGGCCCTCGGTACTACAGCCACCGAAAATAAATCTTCAAACAACCCGAGTGAATTTGGAAATGGATTCTTTCCCAGTCAAGCCTCCAGATGAGAACACATCAAGAACCCAGACTCCTGACTCAGAGAAATGGTGAGATACTAAATGTGCGTTAATTTAAACTTCTAAATTTATAGTAATTTGTTATGCCGTAATAGATAACCAAAACAATAGCCATGTTCTTTTGTTTACGTATAGTCATGTAGTCTATGGTAACTTTTGCACTAGGACAGCAGAGTTGAGTAGTTTCGACAGAGAGCCCATGATCCAGAAAGCCTAAAATATTTACTACCTATCTCTTTACAGGAAAAGTTTGAAGACCCATGTCTTATTACCGTACTTCCCTGGGGCATCCTTAGCGGAATATAGCACATAGGGAATACATAGATCTACAAGATGGATGTGGTATATATTGCCATAGCATCACTTTTTAATTTTTGCCAGCCTTATGGAAATTGGAAATTGTATTTTCCATCCTCTGTAGCTACTGCAGCCATGTGACTAGGTCTCACCTATGAAATGTAAGTAGAAATGATACTTATCCAATTTTTCTTTCCCTTTTCTGTGACCAAAACATAGATTTGGAGCTCAGTGAGCAGACAAAGATAATGCCTTAAGGAGTAGGAAGGAACAATGTGGAAGGAAGCTGGGTCCTTGAATGTCCTCATGGAGCAGTGCTGCCAATATGCCCCTGACAAGGTGCTGTCTCCAGACCATTGCATGAGAAATAAAACATCTAGTTTGAGCAACTATATTTGGGAAATTATTAATACAGCAGCTTAGCCCTTAGCCTAACTAATAAGGGGTAATATGATTTTAATTAGCCAGCAATTTAGAGCATTTACATTTTTATAGAGAGATGAATATTTTATATCATATAGTTCAAATCCATATAAATATTGAAGAGAAAATGGAACACTTAAAACAAACAAACAAACTTTGTTCTAACAGTATGCAACTTCAGGCTAAATTTCCAGAGCTACTGGGAGGATATATTCACCCTACTTTCCCAGT